GGTGGCCAAGTGACTTGCCCCAGCCTACATGGGCATTTCATGTAGATTTAAACTTTGGGTCTTGGTTTTAAGGTCTTCCAAGTAAATTCATGTGTATCGTGTTTCCTTAACTTACATGTTTTAGATTTCCTACTTAAAAATAAATACTATCTGGCCGATGTGTATTGGAATGCCTTCTCTGTATACTAGGATTTTGCAGGGATTATGAGGGTGTCAGGAAGCTTATTTATAGCATAAATGGGGAACAATTCACATACACTGAAGAAAATAGCTAGCAGTGCTGGATGGTAGTAAGTAGGGGGTCAGGAGTGGAGTGGACCGTTGTTGAAGCCTTGTGAACTGCTGATGGGGAAGGTAGCTTGGGGAAGGGCGTTGGAAGCCGGAGGACGGGAAGGATTTGTCTAGAAGAAGGAGAGCGTTAGAGGCAGGCAGACAGGAATTTTGCTGATCTGGCTGGTTAACAGAGGTTTCCCCCAGTTTTCCCTGTAAGTTAGAGGAGTGCATGTTTCCGGGCACCTTATCTGGACTGTATATAGAGGTCTTTTGACATCTGGGTCTGTTCTAAGCTCTTGTTGTTCACTTCCCTGCCATCCCGGAGCTCACTGGGCTGGATGGCGGTGGAGGGGGGATCCTACATAACCCAGGCCAGGTCTGCGCTCCTCTCCCTAGAGTCTGTTCAGAGCGGGAGGCTGTGGGGGATGGAGAAGATTGTGTGCACCCCTTCCTCCTCAGCCTTTCCAGGGCCAGATGGGCAGAACGGAACCATCTCTGAGTTTTACAAAGAACAGAAGGCACAGCTGGTTTCCCTGGCCAACTCTCAAAGCCAGTGTGTGCTTTGAACCCTGTGGTGGTGTACTTCCTGCCCGCTCAACCCTGAAGGTAGGTGTCAGGAAGGAATCTTGCCTTCGGAGGTCTGAATGCGTCACAACCCTTCCTTAACTATAGGGCATGTTGGCAGGACTTGGGTTTGGATCAATCTAAGAGGTAGGATTTCAGGCAGGATAGATAGTAATAATTGATTTCTGGTCAGAGGGGATATTGTAAGTTGCCTCAAAAAATAAAAATTGAAAAAAAAAGGGGGACTTTGGGTCTAGGGACCTGGGGGTCTTTCTAGAGGTTCCAAGCTGCCATCTGCCCAATATGGGTTTCTTCTAATCCTTCTAGCTCATTCCAGAAGTGCTGTCCAGATCCGGCTGTCAGTTCTGCCCTCTCCTGAGGGTTAGGATTAATAGTGTGTGATTGTGTCTGCCTCTTGGGCCGCCTTCCGGGAAGGCCCATGCCAGGGGATGGGAGGTATGAGGGGTCTGGTGGGTGCAAGAGCTGGGCCATCCACACACCTGACCCTTCTCTCTCATCCCCATATTTGGTGAACATTTTTCTCACGTCTGGTCTTCTTGGCTTGTTACTCATGCAGCACTGCGGCCCAATAACATCTTACCAGCACCCCAGTAGGAACGTGGGTTCTCTTTGTGGTCAGGACCCTGACATACAGGGATATCCTCAGATAGTGAAATCCCTGAGGGAAAGGATGGGGGGGGGTCCTTCAGACCACATAGCATGGTGACCCAATTTGACCTATTTAAAGATTTTTAAAAATTTTAATTGGGATAAGTACACATAACATAAAATTTACCCTCTTAACAATTTTTAAGTGTACAATTCAGTGGCATTAAGTATATTCATGTTGTTGTACAACTATTATCCCCATCTGTTTCCAGAACTTTTTCATCTTCCCAAACTGAAACTCTGACCCCATTAAACACTCACTCCCCATTCCTCCTTCCCCCAGCCCCTGGCCGTCACTATTCTACTTTCTGGATCTATGAATTTGACTCCTCTAGATACCTTATATAAATGTATATATGTATATAAATACAATATTTGTCCTTTTGTGACTGACTTATTTCATTTAGCATGATGTCGTCAGGGTTCATCCACATTGTAGCCTGTGTCAGAATTTCTTTCCTTTTTTTTTTTTTAAAGATTTTGTTTATTTATTTGACAGAGAGAGACACAGCGAGAGCAGGAACACGAGCAGGGGGAGCGGGAGAGGGAGAAGCAGGCTTCCCGCAGAGCAGAGAGCCCGATGGGACTCGATCCCAGGACCCTGGGATCATGACCTGAGCCGAAGGCAGACGCTTAATGACTGAGCCACCCAAGCGCCCAGAATTTCTTTCCTTTTTAAGGCTGAATAATATTCCATTGCATGAATTTACCACATTTTGTTTATCCATTCACCCAACAATGGACACTTGGCTTGCTTCTACCATTGACTATTGTGAATCATGTTGCTGTGGGCATGGATGTACAAATATCTCAAAAGAGATATATTTTCTGCTTTCAGTACTTCTGGGTATATAATGAGAAGTGGAATTGTTGGACCATGTAGTAATTCTATTTTTAACTTTTTGAGGAACTACTGTACTCTTTTCAGCTACTCTGAAAACATTTTACACAGGGCACACTCATTCCAATTTTTCTACATTCTAATCAACACTTGCTATTTTCTGTTTAAAAAATATTTTTTTCAATGTCTTAATTTTTTTGAAGTTTTTATTTAAATTCCAGTTAGTTCACATACAGTGTAATATCAGTTTCAGGTGTACAATGTAGTGATTCAACACTTCCATACATCGCCTAGTCCTTATCACAAGTGCTCTCCTTAATCACTGCTGGGTTTTTGTTTTTATTTTTGATAGTAACCATCTGAATGGGTGGTCCAATTTGGATTATTAACTAATGAGTTAAGTAATTCCTTCTGTACATTTAAAAACTTTTTAAAAAAGATTTTTATTCATTTATTCATGAGAGACACAGAGAGAAAGAGAGAGAGGTAGAAGCAGAGGGAGAAGCAGGCTCCCTGCACAGCAGGGAGCCCCATGTAGGACTTGATCCCAGGACCCTGGGATCATGACCTGAGCCGAAGATAGATGCTTAACTGACTGAGCCATCCAGGTGCCCCTCTGTACATTTTTATCATGTCCTTTTCTACCAATTCTGACTTTGCATGGCCTGTGTCATTAAGGAAAAAGAAAAATCAATCTTTCTTCTGACTTCCTGCCATTTCAAATTATCATCCTAAGTGATATACTTGGAGGCAAAGGATATAAGAAGAGCGTGTGTTTTGGAATCAGATAGGCCTTGGTTCATCCATCCTTCCCTCATCCGTCCATGCATCCATTCATTCATCATTTATCAAGCCACTTAGGGACATAGGAGAGCATTGTGCTGGTTTATTGTCCTGTAATGAGCAACACAGGCTTTGGTAAGCTACGATCTAAGTTCTGGGCAAATTAAAACCTTCTGGGCTTTAATTTTATTGTTTATGAAATGGAAAAATGGTATCAAGCCCCTAGGGTTGTATGTTATATACCCCCCTCCCTTCCTTTACCCTGACTTCCTCTCCCACCCCCTGATAGCCCTTACTTTCGCTCCTCCCTCCACTACCAGCTTCCAGAATTCTATGTACGTGGGTGGTATTAGCCCTTCCCTGGCACGTGGCAGTTGGCACACCCAGTTGGCAAGAGAAGGTCACTGGGTGAACCTGTCTTGGGCTCTTTAGTCCTTAGATGCTCAAATTCAGGGAATGGGTGGCCCATGGGTTGTTGTGCTCTTTTCCCCAGGGATTACCATTGATACCTGTTCCAAAGACTGGTGTGTGCCATGATCATAACGCAGGGGGAGCCCGAATGCCCAGCACTTTCCGCTAACCATGACAAAGATCCTGGGCCGGTCCGTGTTCTGGGGGCAGAGCAGGACGTATGCGCCTGGCATGAAGCTTTGTTCCCCTCCTCACCAGAGGCTGTAGTATACCTAGAGCCATGTCCCGTGCTGCCTGGTCGTCCTTGTATGCTTTGCATCTCATCTGGCTCATGGTGTGGCAGAGCGCCGCAGCGAGAGGGCCATGCAGGCCAGGAGAGTCAGGAGACTGTGATGCTGGTCACTCAGGCACTTGCAGGAGTTTCTGGAATGTCAATTTCTCTGAGCCTCCGTTTCCTTCACTGTAGAAGGAAAGTTACAATTCCTGGCCTGGTTGATTCACATGATTTTGGCAGGGAGCACGTGAAATGAATGTAGATTATGCACATATTCTGAGTAACAACGTGCTCTGCAATGGAGAAATAATAACACCTTCAGCACACTTATTATGTGTGCCAGGCACTGTTCTAGGCTGTCTCCATGTAATGACTCATTTGGTTAAATGTGCAAAGCCACCCTGTGCGAGAGGTACTGGTAACGTCTCCATTTTACTGCTGAGCACACGGAGGCACAGAGAGGTTAAGTAACGTGTGGAAGGTCACAGCCAGCCATGGCAGCCGGGGCCTGAACCAGGCAATGAGGTGCCAGAACCAGGCAATGAGGTGCCAGAGTCTCTGCTCTCGGCTGCTGTACGATCCTGCCTGAGCGCTATTGGCATTTTTTGTTGTTTCTGTTCTTCTTGCGTAGCTGGGCAGAGGACACGGCCCCTGGTTCGTAGGGCACATCAGGCAGGGCCTCCTGTGGGCCAAGGTGTGAGATGAACTGATGGGCGTAAACTGTGCCCCAGACGACTCTCCAGGGTCCAGACGCGTGCAGGGACAGGGATAGCTCCGATAATGAAAACTCACGTATTGTTCAGTACGTAGCTAGAGCAAGTGCTTGGATCTCGTTTGGAGGAGGGTGCTGGCGTTTGCCTTCCGGTCGCTCGCTTTCCAGGCCCACTCTGGGAGAAAAGTGCCGATTGGGCCCAAGAGCCCAACAGGCAAGATGCCGGAGGGTTCAGATGGAGCCGCTGAGGTTGTGTCTCCAGTGGGCCTGCTGACGTGTCGGCATACCTCACGGCCGCGTTGGAGAGGGTCATCTGAATCCCCGGCCGGGCTGGCCCCGTGACCACTGAGCCGGCATCTGTCTGACAGATGCACAGAGCCGTGCCCTCTAAACCCCAGATGCTCTCCCAGTGCAGTTCCCGCAGAGCCGGTGAGAGTTGCGTGTTTATGCTACTGTTTCTCTTTTCCTCGCAGGTGGCCAGGATTGCTTACCACCTGCAGCGACCTTTCGGAGGAGGCGCCTGGCACGGAGGCCGGGCTACATGAGAGGCGCAGCCGGGCCCCAGATTGGGTTCCTCTTCCCAGTGGCGGCCGCTCCGTTACGGGCCCAGGGAGGGGCGTGCGGTGAGAAGTGCCACCAGTCTGAGTCCAGGGCCGGACAGTGTGGCCGCGATCCTGGAGGCCAGCGGCGAGGCCCCTCAGTTGGGAGCCTTGTTCCTAGGAGCACAGCAGCCTCGGCTCCGACCCCCGTGGGCTGCCTGGGCCTGGCTCTGACCCCTGTAAGAGGACCCCCAGGGCTCTTTGGGATTCAGCTCAGAGCTGCCCCCACACTACCTGCCAGGCCGGCCAGGTCGTGTGGCCCTGGGGACGCTGGGGGGCAGGAGGAGCTCCCGTCCATGGACAGTTCCGAGGCTCCCGGCCTTGGCTGGGGTGCTGCCAGGGGTGGAAGAGCAAAGGGTTCCTGGACAAAAGGCCATCTGGCCCCAGAGGAGGTGACTGGCAACAGCTGCAGCCTCGGAAGTGGCCCCAGGGTCCCCTCAGCCCCTGCCGGCTCTCAGAACGCCTTTACTTCAAGCTTTAGCTTCATACGGCTCTCCCTTGGCTCTGCTGGGGAGCGTGGAGAGGCGGAGGGCCGCCCGCCCTCCAGAGAGGCCGAGGCCCCTTGTCAGAGCCCCGAGGAGACGGAAGCCACGGCTGCCAGCCTGGACAGGCCACACGAACACCCTCGACTTCTCTCTCCCCACTTGAGTCTCAAGACTGCTCAGCACCTGGCAGACTCTGCGCAGGCCACCGGGGGCTGCCGCGGGCCGGAGAGGGAGCCGCTTTCCTTACTGGACACGGACACTGCCTCCTTCTGCTCCCCGGGCCCCTCCTGGCCTGTGGGCAGCAGCTTGGGGGACTCTCAGCGCTGGGATACCCTGCTCAGGAGGTGCGAGCCCGTTCTGCTGGACTGCCTGCTGAGCGACCAGAGGTGGCTGGAGGTTAGTGTCTCCCAGCCTGCGGAGCCGTGACTGTCCCAAGCTCAGATCTGCTCCGCGCAGAGGGCAGGAACCGAGGAGTTCTGGTGTTGACCGCCAGCGTCCCCTCGGAAACTGCAGCAGCTCTTTTTGTAACCGGCTGCAAAAAGATGCCGCTGTACTTCTGTTTCTTGTCTTTCAGTTCGAACACAAATCTGTCCCCGTTCCCGTCTTCTCTGTCACGTGGTTGCTCAGATTTGCTCTCTGTTGGGCCGCAGGCTCCTCTGCACTTCCCGGCCTAAGAGATGTGTGGTTAGCTCTGCCCAGCTCTGCTCTGAAACAGGAACTTGGGGGCAGGGGCAGGGGAGCTGGCTGGTGTGTGGTTGAGGGGTCTGAAATCGGTGATGCCCCATCGTGGGGGTGAGGCTGGGCTTCATTTGCATTTACTGTGCCCCTTACATTTCATCCTGCTCAGTGGGAACTGCCTGACACAGCCAGGAGACTTCGTTCCTGGGCATTACATCCCTCAGGCTCTCAGTTCCCTTATTTAAAGACGGTAACACTGCACGGGATTGTTCTCTGGCTGCAGTGAGACGCTGAGGACTTTTGGAAGCTAGGACAGATTGTATTCACGTAAGTCCTGGCATCATGAGGGTGCTGTCCACCCGGTTATGTGAGAGATGGGTACAACTGTGAGTAGGCAGTGTTGTGCTACCCCCCAAAATTTCCCCGAGAAACCCAGGCAGAGATGCTTTGTGACTGACCCATTGCGCTGTGTGTGGCTTATCCTACTGAAAGGCTGTGTTTTCCTTCTGTGTTGTGTGTGCATGTGATGTGTGCGCATGTGTGTAAGTGTGTGCATGTGTGTATGTGTATGTGTGCATACATGTACATGTACACAAGGAAGTAGAACACCCACTCATCAGGCATTTGGTAGAAGTACCTGAAAACGTGAAGGTCGTGTTCATTCCCAGCAATTGCACTCATTTACTTTCAGTTCTTTACGCGTGGCCTGATGTTCCTGGCCCTGGCCCTGTTTGCCCTGTTCCAGCCCTCAGGGACCTCAGCCCAGCCATGTGATTCGTATCACAAGGAGATCCTGAAGTCAGGCTGGATATGCGTGCAGGTCTCCGTTCCCAGGTGATGCACAGAACCCTCGAGTTAGGTGTGTTCAAAGCTGACGTCATTGTCTTCCCCACCAAAGCTGTTCTAAAAGGCTCTGGTCTTGATACATTTTTGTTGATGTTAATGAATAGCATCCATCCAGCATCGTCAACACCTCCCTCATCCTCACTCCCCCATCTGGTCAGCCCTCATAGTCCTACAGCTAACCTGCCTCTCACAGCCATGGCCTCTGCCCTGGTTCAAACCCTTGTTATTTTTAACCTGGGTTTTGTAAGAGATTCTTGACATATTTACCTTCCTCCAGTATCTCTCCTCTCCAGTTCATCCTCCGGATGGCCAGCAGAGTTATCTTCCAAAATACCGGTGGGATAGTGTTATTCCTTGGCTCGAAACCTTTGGTGGCTCATTGCTCTTCTCGGGATGGTATCCAAGTTCCTTATCCTGATAATTGAGACCTTTCCCAACCTGCACCAGCCTGCCCCAGTGCCTTACTCCTGCTGGCTCAGCCATCTGGTGCTGCTTCCTGTTCCTGAAGACACCAAGGAAAGCTGTGCCTCAGGCCCTTGCCTACAGTTCTCCCTCTGCCTGGAATGACCTTCCTACACCTTTCCACCTGCCAAGATCATATAATCCCTTTGGAGTGGGTCTGAAGCCACCTCCCTGTGAGACATTTCCTGCCCCCTCTGGACCAAATGAGTCCTTCCTTCCACGTTGCTTCCACAGCACTCTGGACATGCCCCATGGTAGCACTCATCACGTTTAATAAGCATTTGTTTGCGGGTCCAAGTTCTGCACTCGACCATGAGCTCTACCTACCATAGGTCACATCTCTTAGACAGTTTTGGATGCCTGATGCCTTGCATCCGTCCTGGCCCTCCGCTGTTGCTTGATTCATTTTTGTTTTTAGTGAAATGATTAATCTCCTTAAGAGGGACCACAGATCCCTAGGTGATGGTTTTTTTGGATTGACTCGCTAGGGCATAAGAAGAGTCTGAGAGACAGATATGCAAAGTGTAAGGGGGTTCTCGTCATCAATTCCAACCTTGGAGAGGTGTTTGTCCACACCAGCAATTCTCCAACGCTAGCTGGGTGTCCTGTAACTCAACGCAGTTCTGACCCCATCTATCCAGAAATAGTATCAGCTCCGACAGTGGAGGAGCTTAGTCCACAAGACTGCCTGCTTCTTCTCTGGGGGCCAGTTGCAGGTCCAGACCATCATCTGTGCTTCTGACCCACTGGCTATAGATCGGAGGTTCCAACAGCAACCCTCTCCTTGGGTTCGATTAATTTGTTAGAGTGGCTCGCTGAACTCAGAGAAACGTTTTACTTACTAGATTATACATTTATTATAAAAGGATATAACTCAGGAACAGCCAGTGGAAGAGATACATGGGGCAAGGTGTAGGGGGAAGGGCGTGGAGCTTCTAGGCCCTCTCCAGGCCCACCACTCTCCCTGAATGTCTACATGTGTACCAACCTGGAATCTCTCACAACACTGTCCTTCAGGTTTTTATGGAGGCTTTATTACATAGGCATGACTTATTAAATCATTGGCCATTTGGGAATGATTCAACACCCAGCCCCTTATCCTCCCTGGAGGTCGGGGTTGGGGGGGGGTTGGGGCTGTAAGTCCCCCCCCCCCCCCCCGCTCCCCGCCCCAGTCATGTGGTTGGTTCCCCTGGCAACCAGCCCTCATCCTTAGGTGTCTTCCAAAAGTCATCCTATTAACATAACAAAAGACACCTTTCTTGCCCTCTTCACAGGAAATTTCTAGGGTTTTAGGCGCTCTGTGTCAGAAATGAACAAAGACGAAATACTCATTTCTTGTTTATGAATCACAAGGTCCCAGGCACTAAGTGGAGCTTTGTGTCATCACACTTTTCCAGCTGTAAATATCTGTATTCAACGTTTCATTTCCAAGATCTCTTTTAAAAAAATCTTGACAACATATCTGTATTTCTCCATCTCAAAAAATTCAAGTTTTGACTCAAGTGAAGCAAAAGTAGAATGCCATTCCAATGACCAGTGGCTCTCCCTCCCAAATAGCCAAACAAACAGGAACTACCTTGGCAGTGATCCTTCTGCAGTCCACACGATTCCGCTCGCTGGGTTTCCTTTCTTCTATCTCCTCCTACCTGCAGGTAACTCACATCCTCCCGAGAATCTTGTTTGTAATAAACTGGAGTCTGCGAACCCCTGAGCAGTTGTGGCTCTTGGGGCCCAGCCACGCCTCGGGCTCGCTTTGCCAGCTCCCCGAGCCACCAGGTCATTTCAGGGCCTGAAGGTTGGCATTCCTGGGGCTCTGGCTGTGGAAAGCCACCCTGACTTACCTTTTGGGTTTCAGGATTTTTAGTTTTAAAAAAATACAACCAACCCTAGATACATCTCTTCCTTTAACCTTTATTACCCAGATGCAGCTTTTTAAAAGAATTTATTGGTCAGAGCCCACAAGAGAGGTGTTCCTCGTGGAAGAAGGACAAGGTGGCTGCCGGTTCACCCTGGGGATTCTGGAGGAGGACAGCCCTGCTTTCCGTGGGCACCTGGTGGGGGGTGTGTGTGTGCCTGTGATCCCACGGTGCCCTGCAGCGTGTCAGGTTCATGGGCCTGCCTGGATGCTAGCCTGGCATTTTCCTCTCCCAGCTGTGGGGCCTTAGGTAATTTGCTTAACTGTTCTGTGCCTCAAGATGCTCTTGTTAGAAGGTGGAGATAAACCACGGTACCCACCTCATTAGATTCTCATGAGGATGAAATGTGCTCACACTTGTTGGGAGCTTCAGACAAGGTCTGGCACCGAGCGAGTGCCCAGAATATTGGTCATTATTATCATTAGAGAAATAGCTCAGAATAAGAGAATTTGGGTCAAAAACACCAAATTCACCCTTCTCCCCATAATTCAAATTAAACTCATATCCTGTCTCAAGTGATAGGATCTGGACACAATTTATCTGTAGTTTAAGTACCTTTGTTTATGGTAAACTAACAGCTAAAAAGCAGAAAACACGATGCTGTTTTCAGTGATTTGAATGTCTGTTTGTGGGAGAGGAATTAGCTTTCTTTGGTGTGGTGGGAGTGATGGAAAGAACTCTGTCTGGGGCATAAGATTTATAGGAAGGCAGATTTTGTTTCTATAGGAAGAAGAGGCTCCTGACAGCTGGAAGTGTCTGGCGTGAGGGGGGCCTTTTGCTTCTTTTTCTATCACGTTTGTGCAGAGGCTTGAGATGGCTCATTCGGGCTCCTGGAGAGGCACTCAGGATTAGGGAGGGATGTCCTTTGAAAGACTGGGATTCTAGTGTTCTGGGGCCTTTTAGATATTACATTCCAATTCCTAACCCCTTCTCCCTTCTCTTTCAGTAAAAAAACAAATCTCAGGAATTTGGGTTTTCGTTCCTTTTAAAATATAGCCGATCCTCAGTATTTGTTGCTTACTTTCTACAGTTTATTGGTAACTCCAGAGTCAATGCTCACAGCGCTTTCCTCGTCATTTGTGGATGTGTGCAGAGTGGCTAAAAGGTTGGGTTGCCTGATGTGCACTTTCCCAGCTGAGATCGAACAAGGCAATGCTCCCTTCTCGTTGCAGCTGCCATCCTGTAAACAAGTGTCCTTTTTTGTGGTCTATTTAGTGCTTTTTGTTGGGGATTTCACTGTTTCAAATGGCCTGCCAGCATAGGGCCGCCATGCTGCCTCATGCTCCCAAGTGTGAGAGGGTTGCCCTGTGCCTTATGGTGGAAACGTGTGTCGGTTAAGCTCGCTGCAGGCACGAGCTGTAGTGCCGGTGGCCGTGAGTTCTGTTAACGAGCCAGAAATATATATTAAATAAGGCATCTTTCAACTGAAACACACATAAAACAAGGTTACATATTGATCAGTTGGCAAAAACATTGTGATCAGAGGCTCTCAGAAGCCGAACGCTCGTTTCCCCTGGAAGCAATGGCTTAGTGTTTGCTAACTGAGCATTTCCGGAGACTTTAGAGAATACAGCTACCACGAATGAGAATCGACAGAATGGGTATTTTATGCTGTTTAGAAACAGCCATCCAGGGACATTGCCAGGGATTGCAAGGGGCTGAGACAATAGTGGTGGAAGGAAATGCTAACTGGGTGTGCAGAGGAGGGAAGCGGGGAGAACCCTGCAAGTTAGCCCTGCCTCAGCTTGTGGAAGCTGCAGGAGGAGGGAAATTGCCTGCCTCACACTGGATAAGACATGACCATCAGTGGCTCTGCTGCCAGCAAAGATGGACGTTCAGACATCTCCTGGGGCATCAATTCAGCGACCTACAGGGATCACTGGATGAGCGGGAGGAGGTGAGGTGGATGTTGGCTCTGCATGAAGTTCTATGACCTTCTTTCCTGTAGTTTTTCTGCTTCGACTCTAGTAATTGTTTATTAATACAAGGTCTTGGGTATGGTGATGGTGATAGTATGCTTTAAATGGCAGTTGAACTACCCATACAGATCTTCTATCCCTAATATGTACAACTAGGTTACTGGTGCAGTTTGCACTTGTAATATGGAGCAACTCAAGGATAAAGGGGTTAATGTAAACATTCATTCATTCAGAAAGTATTTAGGGACTCCCTGTGCCCGGCTTTGGATATTGTATCAGAAGAGGTAATAGATAGTGACACGATATCAGAGCCTTCATAGGACAAAGTTGTGTTTCTTGTTGAATGCTTCGTGTTCCACGGAGGTGGTTGGGGGATCTGCTCCACAGGGTCACTCAGGAACCCTGCCTACGCCACCTGAACATACGGCCCCTCAGTCAAGGGGACAAGGAAGAAAACCATAAGAGGTCCTACAAGAGCAATTAAATACTCACTGCAGAAGTGACCTCTAATGCTTGCACCCACACCCCATGACCCACAGCAAGGTGGTGAGAGAAATGTCATCCTTATGTGTGCCCAGAGCAGTGGAGAGCCTAGTAAGGGTGAACTCTGCCATTTTCTGAATAGAATAGAATGAATAGAATATAGTTCTTGCCCTCAAGATGCTCGAGTGTGAATGGAGCACACAGACAAAATGAAACAGAACAACAGCAGTAACATGGTGTCCCAAGTACTACGATAATTTCTTGCAATTCCATTCTTCTAGCAGCTCAAACCCAAATCCCAGCATCATGCTGACTTTCTTACCCCCCATGTGATCTATGAACAAATCCTGTCGGTCCTGTCTTCAGCACCGTTTTCAGAATGTGCCCAGGATCAGATCACCTTCTCACCATCTTCACTGTGCCCACGATTGTTCAGGCTACCGGCCCTTCCATCCTGGGCGGTCTCCATGCCCCCCACCCCCGCCATCTGACTTCTGCCCTTACCCACAGCAGTCAGACCCCAGTCAGAGCATGGACTCTTGTGCTCAAAACCCTCTGACTGCCCCCATCACCCTCAGAGTAACATCAGCACTTTTTTTAGTCACCTTCGTGTGTCTTCATGATGCATTCCTTATCATCTCTCTGACCTCATCATCTACAATCCCCCTTTAATGAATCCACCCCAGACCCAGTGGCCTGCTGCTTTACTTGGCAACACCAGCAACACCTCTGCCCAGAGCCTTTGTGCTGACTCTTCTCTTGTTGAAATGTTTTCTCCAGGACCCCCAGGGTTCCCCCTCTTACCACGTTCAAATCTTTGCTCAAATGTCCGTGAGATCTTATTTAAATCTGCAGCCCCACCCTCTTCCAGCATTCCTGATGCCCCTTACTCGGTTCTATGGGTTTTTCTTCTTTCTTAACCCCAATCACTTTGTAAGGCTCCATAAAACATACTTATTATGTCAATTTTTGTCTTCCTACTCAAGAGTGTACATTGAGAGACGGCTAAGAATTTTGTGCTGTATCCTCAACACCTCAAACGGTGCCTGGCACCGAGGAGACACTCAGTAAATATTTGTTAAATGGGTCATACGAATAAGAACAAGTGGGTCATACGAATAAAAACAGGTCACAATGGCTGTATAGAGGAAGGACATGTAACACAGACTGGAGGAGGTGACACCCGAGCTGGGTGTTGAAGGACATGGAGGTGTGAGCCAGACAAAGGATGGGAGGAAGGTGTGTTTCAGGGAGCGAGCTCACATCCATTCACTAATAGGCCAAGAATCTATCTTCAGAAAATCTTGGGCCTCCTGTCGAGAAGAAAAATAATTAAAAATGAGTATTGGTAACTCTCTGACAAACAATGGGATCATTATGTCTATATGCGGGTTAAATAGGGTGATGCCCTTTTCTAGAAGGGTATGGTGAAGTCCTTGTCAATCTCCCCGGGCTGGCAGGATAGCCTGCCCCATTTAAGCTCATGTTCTTCTTCTCTTGGCTTCTTTTCCAATCTTAGTGTGTTTATCTTCATAATTTTAATGTGATTTTGAGAACGGAGACCATTTGGTCAGGTCAGGAAGTTTGCATTCCTTTTTATTATGCATTTTTTTTCATGCAGATAAGGGTACAATGTGATGTTTTTGTTTAAAATAACTTTCTAGCTCTTTTTGTGGATTTTATGCTCGAATTACACTTTCTCTTTATATAACTTTTTTTTTTTTTGAGAAACTAATGCATCTGGCATTGGAAAAATGTACATTTGTGGTTCTTTTTTTAAAGGAGAATAAAGAACTTCAGTTTCAAAATCGTTTCTAAATGTTTTTAGCTTTAAAAAAATAAGTTTGCTTGAATGCTATCCTAATTTGGCTTTCATTTTCTTCCCCTTCAAACCAACATAGGTAAAATCCCTAAGATTAAAGCTTCAGAAACTTCAAGGAAAAGCAGTTGAAGATGATGATTATGATAAAGGTGAGTTTTATTTTGCTTACTGATTATTTCCTCTTTTCCCTGGAATGTCCCATTTCTCTTTTACCCTCATTCATACTCATTTTCTACACCCCTAATGAATTGTATGCTCTGTTCCTCTGGTCACCTCCACTCAGTAACAATTGACTGTTTCATAGCACTGTATTTTGTGGATTTCAAAGCCTTTTATGAGCATTAATCCTTTGGGTTATACATTTGTTGATTACCCAGAAGTACTCCAAGTATTTGCACAATGAAAGCTACATTAACTCCTCATCTTCCTGCCTAACATGTGATATATCTATAATTTATTCATTCATTGAAAAATATTTGTTGTATACCTACTATGTGCTAGGCAGTGTGGCAGGAGTAGGAAAATAAGATGGACACAGGATCTGACCTTGTGATACCTGTAAATATGAATTCTCATGGAGCTTTTTGATTTCTTACTGTCCAGGACCAGAGATAGGAAATGGGATGAGCTTGAGAAATGCCAGGCTGTGCCAAAGGGGTCAAATGTACCAAATTCCCATGTAGATGGCCCCAAATGTCCAAGCTAGAAAGGAGAAGTAACAACATGAGACCAGAAGATAGAGGAGTTGGTTAGATGCCAGAAAAAAAACAGTTAAAATGAGGCACCAAGGTAGGAGTTGGAGCAGAAGCAGATAAGGACCAACATGGCGGCTGAGTGGACACAGGGCAAACTGGGTCAAAGGAAGGCTTTCAGGTATGGTTGGCCTGGGAAGAGTCTTCAGGACTTTGGACGCTGATTGTCACATTTCACACCCATTTCTGCTGGATATGGGGAAGAGAGAGGGCTTAAAATAGCTTCCAGGTTCCCCCAGACACTTATGAACTTGATAGATAGTCCTGGTGATAACCAGGTTTAGCACACTCAGGATGGGTCTGAAAATAGAATGCAGACTTAAGGATTCTTCTGGAAGCTGGTTAGCCTTGAGGCTTGGGTCTTCAACCTTACTGACCCGTGATTTCTTATTCCCAATGAATACATCACAGACTGTTGGCACTGGGGCACTCTAGGAGTGGGTGAGTGATTTCTAAAAGGAGGTTGCAAATCCTATTCTAGAAACACCCGGAGCTGGTGCTGTGTAGTGTTGTGATTACATTGACCACCGAGCATGACCGGGCGGGAGGAAGGAGAGGGATTTGGGAACAGAGGTGGAACTCTCAACTCTTCCACTCTTTCTACAGGCCATCTTGATTGCATGATGGCACTGGGTGGAGGCTGAGGCCGCCCCACGAACGGGCACAGCTGTAGGCAGAGAGCAAATGAGCAATGCCTGCAGCAGGGCGCACCCGCTGACTTTTGTCCGTGAAGGACAACCGAGCCTAGGCTTGAGGCTCCCCACTGCTGGCCAAATTAATTTTCTCTGGCATGGGCCCTTAGCACACAACTCTCGCTCTAACACGCAAAGCTGAAGACACGGGTGGAAAACCAGACCCTCTTTTTCTGACCAAGGCCTGGGGAACTTTCTGGACTTGGTTTTCTCAGTGGGCTTCATTAAGCAAAGGCCTCACTTCTTTGGTCTTTTCTCCAGATTATCTCTGAAACACACAAGAGAACAAGGTTGGATAAGATACTCCTTGTCAGGGAAGCCAAAGGAATAGAAACCTTTATTTAGTATTTCTGTCTGAATTTCTTTTTCTTGTTTCTATGTCAGGCATGAGAATGTCTCCTGAGTGAGGAGCTTGGGGACAGGCCCTGCAGTGTGTTTCAGAAGCCTTCCAGGGGTCGGGAGGCGTGCTGGCATGTGAGAAAACACTGATGCAGGGCTTTACTCCTTGGAGAACCAGGCCAGCTGAGTTCTGGGGGCGAGTGGACGGGGGACTGGTCCGGGGCTGTGTCCCTCCTGATCCACCAGGAGTCTGTGGAGGGGACAGGCACCTGGGAGGTACTTAACACACAGAGTCACATACTTTCTTCCTTTATTTAAACTCCCAAACCTGCAAATGCAAACCCGGTTCAGTGTGTTGAGAGGTCAATGTTCTTATGAAATGTGCAGAGGGCCTGGCACATAGTAGGGAGGCAGGCAGGCAGCGTTTTGTGATGAACAAGAAAGTTACTTGCTGCTGAATGTGTAGGAGCCACGGGTGGCTAGCAAGGACCAAGCACTCGTGTCACCTCAGGATGGGGTTACTTAGCTCATTTGCAGTCCCTGGGATGGGGTGCATGAGGGGGAAGATATTTGTGTAGAACTTGGCTCATTATTTAAAAGATACCCATTGAGCATCTATTGTATAGAACAGTGCTTCTCAAACTTCAGTGTATATATGAATCACCTGCGTAATGTGGTAAATGCACATCCTGACCAAGTAGGTCTGGGCTGGGGTGGAGACTCTCCGTTTGCAATAAGCTCCCAAAGGACACTCCTGCAGCTGTCCAGAGAATGGCCCTTGGAGTGCTGGGGGGATACAAGGCACACAGGCCATTTTATTTATTTGTTTTTTAAAAGATTTATTTATTTATTTATTTATTTATTTATGCATTTATTTATTTAGCGTGAGTGAGAAGAGGGGTAGAGGGAGGCAGAGAGGGAGAATCTCAAGCACACTGAGTGCAGAGCCTGACGTGAGGCTCTATCTCACGACCCTGAGGTCATGACCTGAGCTGAAACCAAGAGTCGGACGCTTCACTGACTGAGCCACCCCGGCGCTCTGACACAAAGCCATTTTAAAAGACACACTGCGCTCTGTCCTTAGGATTTTCATCTCTGGAAGTTTCTGGCAGGGAGGGGAGGTAGCACAGTACACAATAGTAAAGTTACACATAACATGTCCCTTAGAATATAAACTAAGGAAGTTCCAAAAGAGGGGAAACTACTATTTCTTCTTTTTTTTAAAGATTTTATTGATTTATTTAAGATTTATTATTTATTTAAGAGAGTGAGTGAGAGAGAGTGCATGAGCAGGGGTAGGGGCAGAGGGAGAGGGAGAAGGAAACTCCCCACTGAGCAGAAGAGTCAGAAGTAGGACTCGATCCCAGGACCCCAGGACCATGACCTGAGCTGAAGGCAGACGTTTAACTGAATGAGCCACCCAGGCGCCCCGTGGAGAAACTACTTCTGCTGGAAGTGCGGTGGGTGAGGATCAAAACCCTGTGGAGGAGGTGGTAACTGGAATGAGCCTCGGAGGGTGAAGAGGATGCATCTGGAAGGGCATTTGAGAGAACGTGGAGAGGTGTGAAAGCCGCCGTCCCACCGTGTGGCTGTCTCGAAATGGGATGTGAAGTTGGCTGTTGGGTGAAATGGATCACTGCAGGGCCCAGCGCATGGACTGGCACACAGTAGGTGATCCACAAATTCTTGTAAACCAACGGCCAAGTCATTAGGGAAGCTTGGTTGATGTTGAGGTGGAGAGTTTATTGTAATGAGATTTGTCGCAATAGGATTTGAGTAAGATTTCCTTTCTCACTTGGTTTATCTAGGGTTACTAGTAAATGTTTCAAGAATTGTGATTTTTCTTTATTCTCAGCCTTCGCGGTCTCCGAGTGGACTCACTTCGGCTTCAGTGTCAGCAGCAGGTGTGGGGCTGTGCTCTGTCTCAGGGGAAGCAGGCTGCCGGAGCCACGAGAGTCTGGAGGGCTCTCCCTTGGTTTTGTTGCTGTTCTCTCTTTCTTTCTAGTTTCACTCATGAAGATGACTTTGTGTTCCAGACAAAGAAGCAATTGGCACAGAATAGAAAGTTCCATGTTTTATCTCATCAAAGTGCTGGCAGACTTACTCGCTAATGCCTTGTGGGGAAACCTCAGGGCTCTAATTACATCTCTCCCTCCTCGCCTGGGAAGTAAAGTTAATAATTCCTTATATTCTTGCCTAGAGCTGGGAGAGCTTGGTAGGAAAAGAATAATACCATTTAGTACTTGCTTAGAGGTTTTCTGCAGAGGCTTGAAATGCTTTCCTGGTTTCATCCCATGAGTGCTCGTCCTGTGTCGTGGTCAGCGGTGGGGCAGGGGTTGGGACCTCAGAGTCCTGCAGCAGGAGAAGTTGCCGTCCAGAAATGGGAGATGGGGGAGGGAGAGAATGACAGCGAGGGCAATGACGTGCGATGTGCTTGCTGTTCCAGCTGGTCCTGCACTGACGTGTGGCCTGGAACGTCCCCCCGGCCTGTGACCATGTCCACGGCTCACTTCTGAAGCACATGGAAGAAGGAGAAAAATTTCAGGAAGTCACCATTTCAGTGACTCACATCCCTGTGATATGTAGCACAGCTGCCTTTCCCCTGCTGGTTTAGGGTTTCTTTCTCGGTGTGAAAAGTGGTCAGCACTGAACTGGTTCCTCTACCCTTTGTCTTAACCAATATCCATTATGACAAAAGGCAAGTACGACGTGAGGCACCGTAGAGAGGAATGATGACGGCCGAGGCCAAGCATATAATCCCTCTAGAGAGTGCCATAATCTTCATTTTTCTTTCTCTAGCAAGATTGGTCTATCCACAGTTGCTCTTTGGTAATAGTGTGCCAATCATCCAAGCCGACAGCCCTGTCTTTCAGGGGGGACCCCACTCTCTATCTCCTTTAGGTTTGGTGTCTGAGTGGCTTCCTGCAGTCGAATGCTTAGAACCCGAAGCTCTGCTTCCTCTTCTCATAGCCGTGGATGTGATAGAGCCCTTTCAAAATGGGAGCCCGGTGCCATTTTGGGGTCCGCAGAACAGAAATGCTACTCTTGGCAGCCTGTATTGTTTTGTGTTCCTACTGAAAAAGTAGGCTGCATTTGGTGGCTGCTCAGAGACACATGACTGGCACTTAAGATGTTTGCAGAGCAAAGAACCACACGGAGCACAGATATGAATGGGGGTGCAGTTTCTGTCTGCGAGCCCCCTGCTCATGCACTTCCTTTTCTCCCTGCGCTGCAGGGTTTGGAAACGTCATCATTGTGGCCCGCTATCTACCAGGTTCTCCTTCCCTGCTCCCAGGGGTGCTTGCAGTAAGTTCCAGGAAAAGAAGCTAAGACAACACAACCAAGTGAAGCACATGGCACTTTGCA